CTCCTCCCCCTCCTACCGTTTATTCCCGACACCGTTTCCGATCGACGTGTTCGTGGTCCCGTGGAAGGAGGACGGCCAGGACATCCGAGACTTCTTCAGTCCGGGTCGGTCGCTCGTGTCCACGGCGTCGGAGCGCTCCATGTGCCGGTGGTGGTGCCGGTCGGTGTCGGAGTAGCCCCGGTGCTTGATCTTGATCGGGGTCCGGGGTTGCCTCCACAGATGCTGCGGGGGCTTCAGGGTCGCCTGTCCCTCCCGGGGAACCGGAAGCGACAGGGACAGGCTCTTCTTCGAGCACGGCGGCGGTTCCATCATTGTGCCAAAAAAAWAATAATAATAATAACGAGGGAAAAAAATCTAATTAAACAAATAAAAGATCCCTTTTTAAACTTGTAAAAGAAGTAATATGGCTGTAATTTAGTTGAAGCACGAAGCGGAGCGCTTCATGTCCCTATTCCTGCCACTTGAACAAATCAAAGTGACCAGAGAACTGAGTCCTGTTTGCTGAGGAACATGAAAACCCGTCACAGTGGGAACCTGTCAAACCAGTCAGCAATCTGTAATCTCATGGCTTTTCGGGGTCCAGGTTCGGTTCATCCCAGAATCTCCGCGCTGCCGTGGTCCTCAACAGTCTTGGTCTCGGGTGATGAGGCACCAGTCCTGCTGCGTCTCCTGAAGTTTGACGCCTCGTCGCCCATGGCGCACAGCCGGACGACAGTGTTTATTTTAGACAATTTATTGCTTTTTATCAGCCGCGTATTGCAAAGACACCAGAAACCTTGGCTTCCCTCCCTCTCCCTCCTCCTCTCCTCCTCCCTCTCTCTCTTTATTATTACTGTGCGGATCTGCCTCTCCGTTCAGCTAAAATCTAATTTCTAAAAAAAAAAAAAGTACTTCATCTATCATGGCTCGTGTAAGAATGTTTGTGCGCGCAAGCAGAACGCAAAGAAGAAAACGAAAAAATCCCGAGGAGCGAGCCAAAATAAAATTCAGGGATGAAGTCAGGATGGTGTGAAGATTTACACAAAAATCTGATCCGAGCTTTTGTTTCCCTGCTGTCCGGGTTCTCTCTGCTGCAGGTTTTCAGCAACATGTAAACGAGCCAGATGGAGAGTTGCAGAGGTTCAGCCATCCTTCTCGGTCCGGTCCATTATCTCCTCATCCTCATATTTGCTGGAGTTCGACGACAAACATTGGCTTCATCTCAGCTCTCTCTCTCTCTCTCTCTCTCTCTCTCTCTCTCTCTCTCTCTCTCTCTCTCTCT